CCCCCCCCAGGAACATGCACTCACACCCACACATGCAGGAACAGGTACATACATCTCCACACATGGAAGCATACATGCACATCCACATACCCACAAAGTGGGGACAAGAGGTACCTGTGTGGGATGACATGGACACTAAATCCTGGGCTGTGTTTTCTGAAAGTAATTTCTTCCTTGGTTGGAAGGGGTACAGTGCAATGTCTCTGTTTATTCCTTGTTGTGGAAGTCCTTTAAGGAAAATACAGAGGAAGTACGCATTCTGAGGAGCCATTAGGTAACAAGTAGGAAGTCCTGGACGATTGCAAATGTTTATTGGGACAATCCTGACCGTTCATTCACTGTTGACTTGGAAAATGCCTTGAAAGTGACATGAAGTAGGAAACAGCACAAGGCATTGCTTACTAATTATGTGTTGTCTGGTTTTCGTGAAAGCCATAATTAGAAAGAGAAGGGAAAACGTGCTTATTACGACAGCAAGTTGAGCACTTATGGTGTGTCGTTATTGCAGATGGATCACTGTGCTCTGACCCACCCTGAGAGCTTAGGCTGTGCAAACACACTAATTGTGGCTCTTCTGACACTCAGGTCCTGGGTGCCAGCCTTACCCTAACCTGCTGTAAGCAGTCGTAGTGTTTGCTGTAGGGTTTGGAGACACCAGGAGATTTTATCTTTACTCTTTCAGCAAAGCAGACCTTGAACTTCAGACAGATTTTCCTTATTGTGAACTAGTGGCTTGTTTTTATAGCTTACACAGGTGACCTAATGATATGCATGTGTCTGATAGATTTTGATATTTGGAGTGGAGGCAAATGAGGAAGTGGTTCCAGAACTAAGCATTTTATTAAGTAACTTTTAAAAGATCTTATTTTAAACACTTATTTTTTAAATTTTTAAAAATTTATTTAGCTGGGCATGGTGGCACAAGCCTTAATCCCAGCACTCGGAGGCAGAGGCAGGTGAATCTCTGTGAGTTCAAGGCCAGCCTGGTCTATATAGCAAGTTCCATGTTGGCTGGGGTTACAGGGAGACCCTATCTCAAAAAGACCAAAAATTTTTTTTTATTTATATTTTATGAGTTTTGTGTGCATCTGTGTAAGTGCACCCCTGTGGACAATGCCCACAAAGGCCAGAAGAGGGCATTAGATTCCTTGGAACTGGAATTACAGACAGTTGTTAGCTGCCATAGGGATGGTGGGAACTGAACCTAGGTCCTCTGCAAGAACAGCCAGTGCTTTTAACCACCAAACCATCTCTCCAGGCCCTAAAAGTATTTTAAAAATGATGTGTTTGTGTTTTGTGTGGGTATGTGCATAGATAGCATGCAGGTGGCCTCAGAGGGCAGAGAAGGGTGTCAGATTCCTGGAGCTGGACTTATAGGTGGTTGCGATCTCCCCAGTGTGGGTTCTGGGAACCAAACTTCAGTCCTCTGCAAGAGCAGAGCCATTCTGCAGTTCCTTAAATGACTTTTGTGGGTCAGTTTTGCTAGTGACGTTGCTCTTTGCTGATGTCACTACGGCCACACCACAGCTATGTCCTTCTAATCAGAGGAGATGGTACGTGCTCCCTAAAGAGGGTATGAGATAAGGCTTGTATACGCTTTACACCATGGAAGGTTTTAATGGGTTGGGAAGCCTTTTGTCTTACCGAAGAAAAGTTCTTTGTGTATATATGTGTATATTTCTTGTCTGTGTACATGTGTGTGCATGGTTGTGGAGGTTAGAGGTTAATGCTGGTATCCTCAGTCACTTTATCTGTCATCTGTCTATCATCCATCCATCATCTCTACCATCCACCCATCCATCCATCCATCCATCATCTATCTTCTATCACTGTCTAATCTAGCTATTATCTTTGAGGCAGCTCTCACTGAACCTGGAGCTCGCCAGTTCAGCTGGGCTGACTGATCAGTGAGCCCCTGGAAGCCTCTTTTCTCTGCCTCCCTGGGTCAGACTCACAGGTACATGCCGACACGCTCAGCCCGTGGGGTGCTGGCAGTTTAACTAGGCCTCATGCTCACATGGCAGGCATTTTACCAGCTGAGCCATCCTCTTACCTCCAAAAGTTATTTTTAATTTTTTCTGCCTTTAGAGAATTTATTCCGCCTTTGTAGGGAAGGCCAGGCTACACCTGCTTATATATTTTGTGTGTCAGATTCTTGTTTGCTTATTAACGAAATGACACAGTGAGCCCCATTTTCATAGTAATATCTGTTTAAATTCTGTGTGCCATAGACATTAGCATATGATGGGATGAAATATTTTACCTCTTTTCTCCCCTTTAGCACAACATTCTGAAGTTTTTTGGTCATTGCAATGATCTTGATCGGGCAATGAGGAAATGCTTGAAGAATGAGGTAAGAAACTTCCGTGGTTGGGAATGGCCAGACCGTAGAGCAGAGCAGTTTAAATATTATGTATATTGCAGTGATTAAAGTTTCCTGCAATTTTAGTTTTAGAAAAAAACAAAAGACTTTATGTATGACATTCCATCTAAAACCAAGAACTACAAGTTCTTTTGGGACAGTTTTAGGACATTGCTGCCTTTTTGCCATTTACACAGTTGAACAAAATGTCTTGACAAAGTCAAAGTTGGATGAATTTTAAGATTTGGAAAATTAAGTCTGTCGTCAGCAAGGAGATATTTTTGTAACAGTCAATATCTGAGTTGTAGGTCTTTGGGGCCTCAGTTTCCTTAAGTAAAGTGAGCAGGTTAAATTTAGGCTCTTCCCAGCTTTAATGAGCATCTTGGATTCTCTCATACCTGTGGCTGTGAACAAGCCACAGGGAGCTTTTGACTTGTTGGGAAGATGATCATCTGACCCCAGCGAGGCTAGGACATAGGCTTGTCAAGAGCTACAACGCTGACCCAACAGAGTCCATTTGAAACCTTTGAAAAGAAATTAATCGTTTCTGTTTTGTGAAACAATGATATTATCCCCAGGACCTTAAAAAGTATGTAGTTATTAAAAAGAAGGAATATACACATAGATAGGAACTGAAAAAAAGGGTTCCCCTTTTTTCATGTTTTTGAACTGTTTTCCCCCCAGTAATTGAAAGAATGAATACAGTTTTGAAGCTGTCCTGTATCTGTCTTTCACTGTGTGTATTTTCTCTTCTTGGAATGTCTTTTCAGTGTGACACGATCTTTATTGTTTGAAGAGCCTCCTAGAGTTCTATATTAAGCAGAATTTTATTTTTATTTATTTTTATAAGAAGGGTCTCACTGTATAGCACTGGCTGGTCTGGGACTCACCATGTAGATCAGACTGACCTCAAACTCACAGAGGTCTTGCCTGCCTCTCCCTGCCTCTGCCTCCTGAGTGCTGGGATGAAACTAGGTTAAAAAGCATTTGAGAAAATCCAAGTGCTTTTTCTCAGTAACCAGTTCCGTGTGTCTTGTTATTTACAATCTGCTGGCCTGATCAGAATACTTGAGCTGAAAACCTCCAAGGCAAAGACTGTCTTTAGAGCTGCTGACTACAGACGCTCAAGACTTGTGGAGAATCAAGTTCGGGGACTGTTCCTGAATAAGAAACCTAGGAAGTTTAGCTGCTGTACATTTCCATAGGAGTCTGTTGGAGGATATGTCTGCCAAGAGCCATTGAAGCTTAATGTTTAGAAACGGGGCTGTGACTAGAACTAGACTCATCACAACTAGGCTCACTTGGCCATGTCTTTCAGGCAACAGTTGCAAGCACTGTCTAGTTCTAATTGTGATTTAAAAAAATAATTTATTATTTTTATTTTATGTGTATGAGTGTATTGCCTGCATGTATGTGAGTGCAACCTGTGTCCTGAAATGCCCATGGAGGTCAGAAGAGGGTATCAGATACCCTGGAACTGGAGTTACAGATGACTGTTAGCTGTCATGTGGGAGTTGGGAACTGAACCCAGGTCCTCTGCAAGAGCAGCTGGCTAGTGCTCTTAACTATTGAGCCATCTCTCCAGCCCCAACAGTG